CTGGGGGATGGGTTGGGAGGATACATAATAAGGAGGAAAACCTCTAAAAAAGATCAGATTTCCTCTGTGAGGCTATGGACTCTGGAAGATTGTATTTTTCCAATGACAGACATGAAAGTCTCCTATCTACAGGATTTTCTATGAGGTAATGTTACCACTCCTCCCACTGAGAGGTGAGTCCATTTCCCCTGTTTGAAACAGGACAGGCTGTGATTATTCTGAAGTCTCCAGCTACAATGGTGAATGCATCTATTTTCCTTGCATTTCTATCAGGGTTTGCCTTTTGTGTTTTTATGATAAACTGTTAGACACATACACATTAAAGATTATTAAGTCTTCCTGGAGAACTGGTCTCCCTATTATTCTTTATAATTTTTCTTGAAGTTTGCTTTGTCTGAAATTAATAGAGTAACTCAAGCTTTCTTTTGATTAGAAATAAAATAATATATATTTCTCCCTTTCTCTCTTTACTTTTAATCTATCTGTCTTCATATTTGTAGTGGGTTTCTTATAGGCAATATATACTTAGGTCTTGTTTCTTGATCCATTATTAACATTGTTTTTCAACTGATGCACTGAGACCACTGAAGTTTAGTTATTATTTATAATATATAACATATTTGTTATTATTTTTGTTCCTCACCTTTGTTCATTCTTTCTTTTTTTGTTTATTAGATTTCACTTGTTTTTTGTTTTCTTATTTTAAATTGAGCATCTGATGATTCTGTTTTCTTTTTTAGAATATTGGGGGTTTTTTGCTATCTTTCCCCATGGTTGCCTCTAAGTTTGCAATATATATAGTGCATATATATTACATATATACATATTATATATATGCATATATACATATACTACATATATGTGTACTATATATATATATACACACATTAATCCACATCCACTTTCAAATAATAATACTTCATAGATAGTCCAAGTGCTTCATAACAAAGTATCCTCAATTCTTCCCTCCCATGCTTTATAACATTTCTGTTATTTATTTCATTTATCCATAAGATGGAATTATCCAAAACTCAATGATTATTGCAATATATTATTACTTAGAAAGAACTGTTATGTTAGCCCAATTAAAAATGACAAAAATAAAATATATTTCACTTATCCTTCTCTAACACTCTTCCTTTTTATGTAGCTCTTAGTTTCTAAATTATCTTCTTTTTTTCTCATTTAAACTTACTTTTTTAACTGATACTGCAAGTTGGGTCTATTGGATCAAATTCCCACCATTTTTGTTTGTTTAAAAAAAGTCTTTATTTCTCCTCATTTTAGAAAGATAATTTCACTGGATACAAAATCTTAGTTGTTGTTTTTTCTTTCAATATTGTAAATATTCATTCCACTCTTTCTTGCTTACATGGTTTCTGAAGAGAAGTTCAATGTACTTATCATTGTTCTACATACAGGTAAAGTGGTTTCTTTCCTCTTGCTTCTTTTGAGATTTTTTTCTTTGCCTTTGATTTTTCTAAAGTTTGCTTATGATACCACTTCATATAGATTTTTGGTATTTATTCCTCCTGGTGTTCTCTGAACTTCTATGATCAGTGATTATTCATCATTAACTTTGAAAAATTCTCAGTCATTATTACAATTACTTCTTCTGTTCCTTTCCTTCCTTCTCCTGCTGGTATTCCCACTAGACATTTTAAACCTTTTAAAATTGCCTCATATTTATTAATTTTCCCTCTTTTTGTACTATTTCCTTTTTGCATTTCAATGTTTGAAGTTTCTATTGACTATTCAAGATAACATACATTTTCCTTGGAAGTATCCAGTCTACTGATGAGCCCATCAAAGGAATTATTCATTTCTGTTACAGATGTAGTTTTCCAGCATTTCTTTTTGATTCTTTCTTCAAGTGTACAACTCTCAGCTTACATTATCCACATGTCCTTGCATGTCATACACTTTTTACATTAGAGACCTTAACATAAAATTTCCTCTTTTATTCACAAGTCTGTATGTTCTAACTTCCTTTCTGTTCCTTAGTTTAATGACCTGTATCTAAGGTGATTGAAATAACATATTTCACTGGGTTTGGTGGTATACGCCTGTAATCCCAGCAATTCAGGAGGCTGAGACAGGTGGATTGCAAGTTCAAGGCTAGCCTGGACAACTTATCAAGGTCCTGTCCCTATTTTTTTTTAAAAAAATTAAATATGAAATTACATTTCATAGATTTTCAACCTGTCATCTGTAAACCTATAGTTATATCATTACAGTTCCTTGGATGTTCCCATAGGTTGGCCTTTTGGAGTTGGTTTTACCTTTGCAATAACTGTTCTTTTCACCTAATTATAAACAGGTGGCCATTCACAATAGGGTCTGTCTAACCCACCAAATGTACCTTTGGACTTTTGGACCAGCTTTCCAACTGTGCTATGAGGAATCAACAAACTTAAGTGTTGGGCTCTGTTAGTATATAGCCTTAGCATCCACTCACCACAATCAATTCAAACTATTTGTCCTTTGCCAAGGCCATTTTCGATTAATAAAAAGTAAACTGGGAGGTGCTAGGATTGTGGCTCAGAGGTAAAGTGTTTGCCTAACATGCTTGAGGCACTGGGTTCGGTCCTCAGCACCACATATGTAGAAAATAAAGATACTGTGTCCACCTATAACTAAAAAATACATATTAAAAAAAGTAAACTGTGAGGAAATGGAAAGAACCAAGTAGAGAGAGCGTAAGTCCCTGGTGACATTAGAGAACCATGGCACTAGCCCTGTCTGCTTGTTATCTGATAAAAATACCTGATAAAAAATAATGGGTTGGGGTTGGGGATCAGCAGTAGAGCACTCACCTCTCACTTGCAAGACCCTGGGTTGGAGCCTCAGCACCACATAAAAATAAGTGAAATAAAGGTATCGTGTCCAACTACAACTAAAAATACTATAAGTTAAGCAGCTGTAGGCGGATTTGGTGTCTCAAAGATCATGCAAAGAGAATTCAAAACACAAATTATTTACCTTTCTGGATATTTCAATAGATTATATTCCTGTGTGACAATAATCCTCCCAGAGGTTGATAGATCTAGCTAGAATTTATTCATATCTGAATTTCTGATTTGGGGTACAGGGAGAATGGAGATTGAACCCGGGTATGGTCTACCACTGAGTTACATACCTGTCCCCCTTTTTTAAAAAGTTTATTATTTTAAAATACATATTTTTTTAGTTATAGATGGACACAATGCCTTTATTCTTTATTTACTTATCTTTATGTGGTGCTGAGGATGGAACCCAGTGATTCACCAGTGCTAGGAGAGCACTCTACCACTGAGCCATAACTCCAATGCTTTATTATTTTATTTTTTGAGATAGGATCTCCTTAAATAGTAAAGGCTGGCCTTGAACTTTTGATCCTCCTGCCCCAGCCTCCAGAATTCTGGTTCTTTAAGCAAAGTTTACCATGTCCTAAAACAACTGAAGCCCATACTGATTTGACTGAGTCTCTTTATTTTATTCCTTCACTCAGTAATAAGCCTACCTCAAATTTCAAACTATCCAAGAAAGTTAAAAGCACTGGGCAAAAACAATATTTAAGACTATGGACTCAAAACTGACACTTTGTGGCCCTCCAATTATACCAAAGCACATCACAATTATGGGAGGCAGGGGACCTCTGCAGCTCCCAACTAGGTCTGACTTCCAAAATAATGCTTTGAACATTTCCCACACATTGGCCTCCTTAGCAAAAAAGTAAATTTATCCCTTTTTTTTTTTTTTTGCAATGGTCATGTCTGAAGATGAAGCCAGAATTAAGCAGTCAGTATAGATAGGCAATTGGAGTCAGGCCAATTTTGAGTGAGTTTGGCAAGTTGGAGACACTCCCCTGAGGGATTGAAATGTTACAGATAACCTGTCCCAGGAATTGCCCCTTCCTATAGGGAGGTAGAAGGTTGTTAATGTGTCCTTGGCTGCACCATCCTGTCATTCCTGCTTCAGCCCACCAGTTTTCCACCTTTGGCCAGCCCAGAGCATTGGGGCCTAGTACACTAATCAGGAAGGAGAAAGGTGGAAGAGGGTAGGAGAACAAAGGAAGCCTAGAACATATTAAAAGGGCAAAATACCTCGCTTTTGGGGATACCTGGACATCAGCTATGGCTCCCTCCCCGCTCCCAGGAGAAGTCTGTTACCCTTTTTTAAATAAATCCTGCTTTATATGCTTGCCTCAGAGTGCTTCTCTAATATTCAGACTTCAACATTTGAGGGAGCAGAACTCCTCACTGGTAACCGGCGGTATCAAAGATATGTCTTTACCTTTGTGAATGTTATTTTTTTTCCACGATGAATAAACTTAGGTGTATACTGGTGACCACTAGGAGTGAACCGTACAACTCTTCTAAGTCAAGCCAGCATTGGCTCTTTTTTCTCAGGAGTGGCTAGAACTAGCACAGATGTAAATATTAAGATGAACGACTAAATAAAGATAGGCAATCCCTAATATACAGGGACCACGAAAACAACACACAAAACCTCACAAAAGGGTCTGGTATTCTCAGAGTTAGGGCTTCCTAAGTCACATAAATGGTCCACTAATGGAGGAAGTTAAAACCAGGGCAACTCACAGAACAAGCCTAGCAAATCAAAGAGCAAGGGCCAGGAATTGCCAGGGTTGGGGAGCAATGCCCTACAGACCAGAGCAGCTACTTTGAACATGGCTAGAATACCAAATTCGGGGCTAGGAACCAAAATTCCGAAGAAAAAAGCAAGGCCCTGTGAGCTGTGGAGATTCTGCCGGAAAGTTACCGGATACTCACAGAAACGGGACAAAATAAAGATTACTAACAGGAGCAAAAATCTAAGCAAGTAGAGAGAAACAACTCCACCCAAGAACCCCGCTGAGCGACCAAAGAACCTGGTGGCGCGGGGTTCTTGCGTCATCTAGCAGCGCCGGAACCACAGTTACCAGAAAGGAGTTCCGTGGGAGGAGTGAAGCTCACGTGTTATGTAGTGGGCCACCTTCCGCTTCTGAGAGAATTTATGAGAGTCGGATGGGTAAAGCTGGAGAGAAGTCTCTATGTACTAAGTAACTGTGTAGCGATGGCTCACGTAAAGTCACTGTCTCCGTGTTTTGCTTTTACTTTTTTGCGCAAGTGTCTCTGATTGACGTTGCCCAAACAAAAGATGGCTACACAGACGCTGGATGCTACCACAGAGTCTTGGGCCTAGAGAAGCCCGGGAGTGTGTGCTGTGAGCTGGGAAACACCCGCCCGGTCCAGCTCTGTGAAGGAAGTTCGGGGTGGGGCTAGCTGTCTGCAGTTCCTGCGGCTACGCGAAGATGGTGGAGGAGGAGAGCATCCGCGTGGTTCACTGTGGCGGTAGTGAGCTGAACTTTAGAAGAGCGGTGTTCTCTGCGGATTCTAAGTATGGGGACTGCGCGTCGTTGGCAGGGCTGAGGGCCGTGAGCCCTCTGGGGTTTGGAGAAAGAACTGTCAGGCGCGGCCGGACTCCCCAGCTGGCGGACCTGGGCTCTGCGCAGGGGGCGCGTTTGCCAGCGACCCTAGAGCATACGAGAGGTTGCCAGCGCCTGTAAGGAGAGGGACCTTGAGATTCTCTGAGTGCCTTGTGGTGCAGCAGGCGGGGGTGCGCCTCCCCTCCCTGGACCCTTTACCTGCAGTTGGATTGATGGGCCCAGAAGTGGGTCCACGTGTCTAGTATCAGCAGGTAGATGGGGCGGCTGGAAAATGGTCCAGATATTGCAGTGTGTGCAACAGCCCTTGCAGTAACCCAAAGAGTATCCTCACTCTTTGGTATCCTCACTCTTTGGTACGGAATAGTGTTTGGGAATTGCTAAGCCTTTGAAGATTCTGCTTTCTTGGGACCGGAGTTGTGGCTCGGTGATGGAGTGCTTGCTTGTCTAGAGCATGCATTAGCCACTGGGTTCGATCCCCGGCACTACATAAAATTAAAAAAAAAAAAAAAAAAGAGAGAGAGAGAGAGAGAAGAAGAAGGTATTGTGTCCATACACAACTAAAATCTACATTAAAAGAAAAAAAAGATTCTGATTTCTCCTCGCCCCACACACAACACACCCCTACAAGAGATATGTGCCAGTCTTTTTTGGAGCTTTGCATTAAAACTATATTGACTCTTTAGGAGTAAAAAACATTGATTCCCTTGGAAGTTCATTGTAGCTGGAAGCAAACTCTAGGTTTGATACTCAATTCTTATATTGTGAGACTTTTTCAAGTTTTTTATTCTGCTTCTCTTTTCTCATCTGTAAACTAGGGGTAATTTTTAGTAATCTGCCTCTGTTGGGATTCTTGAAAAGAATTTTGCTTTGATACATATGAAATCTCTACAAAATTGCCTAGCATTTAATGGCTCAGTGCGTGTCAGTTGTCATTGGTGCTACATTGTTTCATCTATAAGTGACATATTGTATTAAGAATAGGTTTTCAAATCAGGTAAGGATGGAGATGGATACTTAGTAAAAATCTTTTCTGCCTTGGAGCCTTGAGATAGTATCTTGTGAATACAAGTCTGTATTCCCACTACCCCTGCAATATTCTCCTTGTAGGTATAAGACAAATAGTTGTTGAATGCATGCACCAAAAAAGTAGCTTAGACACACATATCAAACCCTTTGTCTTTACAAGAACCAGGGGCTTTCTTGACATTTCTCTTACCAGTCAGAAGAAGAAATTGAAGCTTCAAGAAGTTGTCACAGGTTCTGCCTCCTCAGAACCATATGCATATATCCAGTTTCTTCCTTCTACATCTTATTCGTTTTATTCAATAAATATTTCTGTGCTTTATTCTATGGTAATATCTATTATAAAAATAGTCAAAAACTTACCCCAGCTTATCCTTTCAGTAATTTAATTGCCTCTACTATGAAAGCCACAAATCCAGAAACAAAAACTGACATAAAATGACTTTGCTATATAAGGAAGGCCTGGACCTCACCAACTACAGGAGAGTTTTGACTCAGCATTTGAAGAATTTAAGAACATAGGAACATACTGCTGTTAGCAGAATCATAAAGAGTGATAGCTGATATACACTGAATAACAGTGTCTGAATTCATTTCATGAACAGGCAACTTAGTTAAGCTGTTTTTGCAGAATGCTTGTATATAGCCTCCATCTGTGAATAGGCAAAAAAAAAAAAAAGTGACATTAGCTTCATTAATCTATTTGAGTCAATGAATGACTCAATCTTAGACTTAAGTAGCATACAAGTTTGAATACACAATTCTTAAACAACTTTGAAAGAAACCTCTATTGCATGTTATTATTTTTGTAATAGACTGTACTTCCTATAGAGGAGATAGTATAACTTATTTTTCTTTTTATTTTTTTTCCAGGTATATCTTCTGTGTCTCTGGGGATTTTGTTAAAGTCTATAGCACTGCTACAGAAGAGTGTGTGCACATACTGCATGGGCACAGAAATCTAGTGACTGGAATCCAGCTTAACCCCAACAATCCTCTGCAGGTGCCATTTTGTAATTGAATATCTTAACATTGGTCTGTTGACAGAAATTTTTGAGTTAAATTTGACTGGGAAACTTTCCAGGTTATGAACAAGGAAATATCTGTTGATTTTCTGTTTTAGGGTATCTTTCTGTTGTTCTTAGTTATGAAAGTAAGATCTCAGCTAAAACTACATTGCCCATAGTATATTCTGTGAACTATTTGATCCACAAGATGCTTAAATAGATGTTAACTTGAGATGAATGTTCTTAGCTGTATACGTTTCTAAAATTCTAGAATTTATACACAGGTAAATGGATTTCTTGATTGTGGACCTTCATGGGTCCTCTTATAACATTAGCAATGTGAATATCCAAAGGTATTTTCTGTTTTTAAATTTTAGCAAAGCTACTGGTAATTTATCTCAACAATATTTTACTCTTGCTATAGTTATTAACAGGTACCATTTTTCTGGATTAGTCACCTACCTTTTTTTCTGGATTAATCACAGCCAAGTTGGAAGTTATTGCTTGATTTTAAAATGAATTTGCATTGCCATTCACTTCATTATCACAAAAGAAGTAGGATGTAAGGTAACACTGGTCTTTTCTTTCCAAAACTAAATGAGCTACTCTTAAAAATGAAAGTTAAGTACAACTTTTTTGCAGGGTCCAGGTACACTTTTTATCCTGTTCTCTGAAGGTTTGACAAAAATTTATTTTCATGTGTGTCACTTGAAGTGTTTTTGGTTTTGTTTTTGTTGTTGATGTTGTTGGACACATGCCTTTATTTTACTTATTTTTATGTGGTGCTGAGGATCGAACTCAGCTCCTTGCACATGCTAGATGAGCACTCTACCACTGAGCCACAACCCCAGCCCTCACTTGAAGTTTTTAATGGCAAAAGATATTCTTTGGTTAAAATTGAAATTTGTGAAGTATGCATTACTAAACTTTATAGGCAAACAAAAAACGCATACACATTACATAAAAGTTCTGTTTCAGGTGACTGAGAGTTAATAAAATTAGAGGAGGGCAGTTTTATCAGTAGGGTTGGTTGAAGTTAAAGGACAGAGATTCTATAAGCTTAGGAGTCACCGTATTTATTTTGACAATGTATGTTTGACTTGTTTATTTCACTAATCTATATTTATGATTCTGATAGATAATAACTGTGATATACATTTTCTACTTAATATGATTATTTTACTTAAATAGATAATATTGTCTTACCCTAGCATTTTTTTTCTATTCTCTGAATTTATGTCCCTATTTGCAGAAATCCTAAAATTGCCACTTTACATAGGAAAATTTAAGATTATTTATAAACCAAGTATATTTACATAGCAATTAAAAAAATCTGATATGACCTTAGTAAAACTGAGTTCACTGAGATAAAAATAAACCCATGTATTACTGAGATCTTCTGGTGCCACTGAAGTATGGTCCTAAATCATTGGTTATGAGTTTTACCACAAGATGAGTACAGAAATTGAGTGCCCATACATTTCATAACATGTTAACAATGCTACAGCATTCAAGTGCATAATAATTTCAGTTTAATTCTCATTAAATAATGAGAATATTGGTCCTTAATGGAAATGTTATCTTTTTTTAAACAAAACATTATCCACTCATTTGAGAAGCAATCCTTGAATGCTCACGTGAGCTGAAAGCAGTGCAGCTGATAAAAAGGGACTGAGCTCTGGGAAAAACAGAAAAAACTCTTGTACTTTTCATAATTCAGTATCTTACCATGTCCCTCTTTAAAACAGGTTTTTTCCCCTCAGTTTTAGTTAAAACTTGAAAATGATAGATTTGCTTTCTCCCGAGGTTTGTGACAAGATTGTCTATTTTGCAGAAGCAATATAAGTTGAGTATCCTTTACCTGAAATGCTTGGGACCAGAATTTAGAATTTGGAATTTTTTGGATTTGGGAATATTTGCATAAATTTCACTGGTTGTAAAAATCCCAATACCCAAAATCCAAAATGCTCCAGTCTGAAACTTTTTAAACATCATGTTAGTGCTCACAAGTTTTGGATTTCAGGTTTTAGATTAGGGATATTCAACCTGTATAAACTTTGCCATCTTTAAGGTTAACAGTGAATTAATGATCAGAAAATGCTTTCTGTATCAGCTTTTAATTATTAATTTGATATCTTAATGGGATTCCATTTTAATCTGTTTTGTACTGTTTTTACCTTTTAGCTATATTCTTGTTCCTTTGATGGTACAATTAAACTGTGGGACTATCTAGATGGCATTTTGATAAAGGTAAGTGGATTGAGCTTCAGTTTTCCTTATGTAAAAAAAGTATGGCAATATAAACAGACATATTGTTTTATTCTAGAAGGTCTAATCTTTAGAGAAACTTTCTGAACAAGTCTTGAAATTTACACATCATTTAAAATATATAATCTTGACTATATAAAAATCTTATAAATTTCTAAGATAAAAAGACAAAAACACTGGGAGAAAGCATTTCTCAAAAATATCACACACATATACACAAATGTTCCCAGGCCAATAAGGAAAAACTAATAACGCAATAGAAAAAAAAAAATGGGCATAGGAGACCAATATATAAAATCACAAAAGAATTACAAATAGTTAATAAACATGAAGAGATGCTTCACCTCATTAATAATTGGAACATAAATTAAAACAAACATATGGTATTTTTCCCTATCACTGTAGACAAATTATACATGGAAAAAATTCTATTGATAGGTGAAATGTAGAGAAACGGTTATTTTTTTTTTAACATGATCAATGAGAGTAAACCTGAAAATACATTTTTTTCAGCAACCTCCCAATACGAATTTATCATTAAAGTAATGTTTTTTATACACAATACTTATAATATTGTTTATGGTGGAAAAAACTAAATATAATCTTGATGTTATTTAAAGCACATAATAGAATACTATATGACCACTTAAGACTCAAGTAGATTTGTATGTACAAAACTTAAAAAATTATTCAACAAATATGTGTTGATTATTCTCTATAGATCAGGTATTCTTGTGTTAGGAAGAATAAAGCAGCAAGCAAAATAGGTAAAAATCCCTGCTCTATGGAACTTGAAATTCTGCTGGAGGAAATAGACAGTAAACAATTCGATGCTTTTTATCTTTCAGACTTTCATTGTTGGACATAAACTTCATGCCCTCTTTACTCTTGCCCATGCTGAAGATTCTGTCTTTGTTATAACAAATAAAGAAAAACCAGGTATAGTGTAATGAACTTTTTTAAAAATAGGACATTGAGTGGCTCTTTACATGTTACAGTTCTTCAAAATTTAACATTTTGGTTGTAATCTGAAGCTGACCATCTTTTGGAGATGAAATTTAAATTACCTTTGTCGTCATTGCATTCATTTGAGGAGGCTACCAGTCCTGAAATATTCAATGAGGAAATGATTATTTTATACCTGGTTGTAATAATATACTTCAGAACTCAAATTTTTAAACTATTTTGAAAGGCAGGCTAGACTTTGTCTTAGAACTTAAACCCATCATGCTTAACCATCATTATTCTTTTATCTGTTATGAGTGCCTACTTGTTGGTCTTGAATCATTGTAGGAAATACTATAAAAAAAATAGGCTGATAATAAGAGCCAGTGGTGTGACTGAATTATTATTGTGTTTTTTACTATCAATGGAGCAGTATTCCATTGAAACTTCCATATATCAAGTGTTTTAGGAATTCCTGAAATATTGTCAGTGGTTGCAAATAATTGTCCTTCATCATAGAATTTGAATCAATAGAACATTGACATGAATGATACATCCAAGGAAAATTTCTAATCTCAGAATTCAAGAATACATCCTGTGGTGGACTCCAAAAAAAGTCATATTCGGAGGTACAGAGCAGCTTTTAAGATGACTATTAGGCTAGAGTTGTTCAAGATTTATTAGTTAAGTGAATCCTTTCTGCCCATGCTTTTGGTTTGGGTTTTTTTGTTTTTTCTGAAACATTCATAAATTCTCATATATCACAGGCTTTTAAGAAACCCAAATAGTCAAAACTACAAAAGCTGAATCTATTTTTCTAGTTAAAAATTCCTTAGTGCCAAATCTGGTAATGAGTTTATCGAGAATGTGGCACAAAGCTGGGCACAGTGACTCACGACTATAATCCCAGAGGCTTGAGGGGCTGATGCAGGAGGATCGTAAGTTCAAAGCCAGGCACCTCAGCAAAAGCAAGGCACTTAGCAATTCATTGAGACCCTGTTTCTAAATAAAATACAAAATAGGGCTGGGGATTGGCTTAGTGGTTGAGTACCCCTGAGTTCAATCCCTGGTACCCAAAAGAAAAAAAGAATGTGGCATGAAAGAATAAGAAGCATTAAGTTTAATGTTTTCATGGGACTGATAAACTACTTCTAATGGACATTCAAAAAATGTTCTGAAAATAGCAACATTCTTAAAAGATTATGTCACCTTCCCCCGAGATAATTGCTTCAAAGATTCCACTCTTGTGATATATATATGGATTTGTAACATCAGTCCACATTCAGATTCCTGATCTTTCTCACTGGTAGTTGCTGCACTAGATCTAGGGTATAGTCTAGGAATCTGCATTTTTAGTATCTTTGAACAGATGTTATTCTACTCATCACCAAGATTTGATAATCACCTTCTATACTCACCTGGATATTCCTCTATTGAAAAGTAGTTGCCAATAGCTATAGTAAACTTGTTATCCAAATTCTACCTGTAAGACTAATGATTCTTAACTTTGCACATCAAAAGCTCCCAAGGAACTAAATAATTAAGATTCTCTGCAATGGGACCTAATTATTTGCTTAAAAATTCCTCAGTTGGACCTCATGTACAAGACAAATAAAAAGCTACTGATCTTGGTCATTAGCCTTTGGGAGTTTGTGGCAATGTCAAATACCGTAAGCTAATCTGAATTCCATTTATAATAGGATAGAGTGTTACTCTTCAGTATTTGCACATTACGGGTACTCAGCATATGAAAATCTGGATATATATTACATAAATCTATCAAATAAACATAGATACATAAATGTCATCTGAGTTCCATAGCCCTAAACCAGAGTCTCTGATAGAAAATTATATAAGTTATATGGCAGTATCCTTCTCTGGTTTAAAAACAAATTAATCTTTTATTTGTATTTTATTTTTTATGGTTTCATTTCTTGACTTGGATATAATATAGTCTTTCAGCAGCTAATTGAGCATCTACCATTCTGCTTGCACTGAACAAAGCAGACAGTGAGTTCCAGCAGTAAGCTGGCTATATCAATTATATGGTACAATTAGATGTTCTAGAGAAAAATAAGCATGTATGGGGAAAAGTCAATGTTGGAGGAAAACACATTTAAATAAGTGTTCAGGGAAGGTCCCCAGAGGAAGAAGAGTAAGCGGTGTGTAGCTATTTTGAAGAATCATATTCTAGAGCATTAATAATGTGTTTGCAGAATAGCAGAAAGGCTAAATTGGGATGAACCAAGGGAGAATAGATTATATACTGCCTTGAAGACCCCTGAAGAGTATGTCAATATTATAGGAAAGGAGATTTATCCTATGAATGTTGCGATAAACCCAGAGCATTGCTGAAAGTTCTCACAGATGGCTCATTGCTTTTGGCTGCTCACTTCATCATTACAGTATTCATATTTCATCTCCATTTTAAACTCAGCTCAGCACTTTGAAATGTAGAATGCACCAATATAAGACATAATTGCTTTCAATTTCTACATGTATGGGCCATATATGTATATAACTTGTGGAATTAGACTTGATTTTAAAACTTGTATGTTTAAACAAAAAGTCCAACTTTAAGTACATTTTGTTCAAGATAGCTCATGATTATAATCTTTACATTCTAGAGTGCTGAGTTATAGTTTCATATGAATGAATGATCATGTTCACTCTCTTTGGAGGTGCTTTATAATAATATAGCTTCCTTTGGCTAGATGTATTTCAGCTGGTTTCAGTGAAACTGCCAAAATCATCAAGCCAGGAAATAGAAGCCAAGGAGCTGTCTTTTGTTTTGGATTACATAAACCAGTCACCAAAGTGCATTGCCTTTGGAAATGAGGTAAGTTGGTTTTGCTGGTTTTTTGATTTATACATAAAATTCTTTTTCCTACAGTCTTCATATTTTATATTATGATACTATTATATTGCCTCAAATGCTTTTATTTTGGTATTAACTTAGAAATCTGTTTCATTGCTTTAATGTGTATTTTTGGTATAGTTTTTTAGGACATTCCTTATTTTGTTTATTCTCTCCTATGGCCCTTCTAAAGTCTCTCGTTTTCCCAAAAAATAGCAACTTTTGCTGTTTGTCCTATATTTTTTCCCTGTCCCACTATAGGATAGAGTGTTACTCTTCAGTAAGCCGCTCAAATTTTTATTTCATTTTAAATTGTGTGGCTTTAAAAAAATATGACCTCTCTATTTATAGTAAATGTTCCCACTATAGAAAACTTGGGTATTACAGAAAAATATAGTGAGGAAAGAAAATCTATAATCTCCCTAGTGATAATATTTAAGGTATGTAGTTCATTTAATTAGCAGAGCCCCTGTTAGTAATTACTTCATTATTTTGATATCAAATATCACCAAGAGACCATAGATATCACTGTAGTGGCATGTTACTTCATTATTTTGATATCAAATATCACCAAGAGACCATAGACATCACTGTAGTGGCATGTTTCTTTAGCCTTAAGTTTTGTAGCATTATTTTGTTATTCTTCTGGATAAATTTTCCAGAATAGAGAAAATTGTTTTTTACAGTATTAAGTCATCATTCTTCAGTATTATTAATCATTTTGTTAAATTAAAACCATGGCAACATACCACTTTACATCCACTAGAACTGCTAATGTTAGAAAGATGGAGCAAAACTAACTACCTACCTCTATCCAGTTATTCCCCTCTTAGGTAAAAAAAAATGAAAACATGATCATAAAATAATGTGTATAGAAATTATTATTATTATTCATAATAGCTCCAAAATGTAAATAATCCAAATATGCATCAACTAGCAAGCAAATTATGATTAGTGGAATATTACTTACCAATAAAAAGAAAATAGTGATATATAGTATGTGGATGAACCTGAAAAAGATGAGATAAGTCCAGCAAAAGAGTTCAAACGAAAACAGAAATAAACAATGGTGATAGAAATTAGTTGTTGCTGGTGGGGTGGGGACATTAGGAATGACTGAAGAAGATGGAGGGAACATTCCTAAGGTGAAGGAAATGCTAAAGATCTTGATTATGATGATGGTTATATGGACATACCTATACCTATATGTTAAACATTGTATATTGCTATACATAGTGCATTATGCCTTAATGGGGGGGAAAAAACCTTAAAGCATTACACTTTTAAATTAGAGATTCTACTTTTAGGATTGTATACTTAAGTTCTTCTTGTTTCAGAACTAAAATTTTCTTTTCTATAGCGAAAGTATAATGTATCGTTTTATGTTAATATACCCTTAAAAGAATGTTGACTATTTTCTGAATGTTATCTTTGAATCTACAGGGAGAATATGTCGCTGCAGTACGAGACTTTTATTTATCTGTTTATTTTTTCAAAAAGAAAACAACATCAAGGTAAGAATTTCTTTTTGTTAGTATTGTCTTATTTAATGAAAAGTTTGTTATGATATGAGTTTTATTAGCTGTGATCCAAAGCGGCTTCTAGTTCTACATTTCAAGAGTGTGAGACCACATGGTATAGAAGTTTTTTAACTCATCATGGATAGTGTTGGGGTATGTTAATTATGAAAACCTAGGGAGCTTTTGCCAGCCCAAATTCCCAATGCACTACAGCTAAATTCTGGTCTGATTATTTGCTTTCAAAATTGGATGTAGATTGAAATAACTCCACCAGGTGATTCTCATTGCTGTTTTATGGCTGTAGGTATGAATATAATTTTTAAGATACCTAGGTTTATAAATGTGTCAAATTTAGTCCATTTAAACTCCTATGTACATTAGATCAATAAGTATTTAAAAGAGATATTGTATACCTAATGGAGTTGTAGGGATAAATGAGTAAGATAACATGTTTAGGGAGACTGGTGCTAAGCACTGAGTAGTCAGTCTCTCTTTAGCTCTGTCCTGTCTTCCCATTTACTCTGCTAAGATTAACATTTGTTAATTCATTGCAAAATAATAAGGATCCTCATCTCCTCAGAGCCAGAAGATAAGCAAATATCTGGCATAAGAGAGGGAAATGGCCTATGTATGACAAGTAGATTTATTCTTTTGAATTTGTCCCTTTGACACATTGGCCAATTGTCTCAGACCATACTGTGCACTAAAACTTAGGTTCCTTGAGAAATTTGAATAAGCTATGCCTTGGCCAAAAAAGACACTGATTGGCTTTTCTTACTTAAATGTCAGTAGCTTCCATAGGCAAGTTATTGATAGGATAGTAGTCAACATGGAGTTTACATCATGTGTTAATAGATGTTTACAAAACAATGTTTTATTCTTGATCAAAAGTTCTTTTTCTTTATATCTCACATTTAGAATGAAATGGACATCATTACCCTAGGTACATGTATGATCACACGAATGGTGTGACCCTACTTCATGTACAACCATCGAAGTGAAAAATTGGCTGTATTGTGTACAATGAATTGAAGAGTATTCAATTATGTATAATGATTAGAACAAGTAAATAAAAAATTTTGTTTTAAAATCCCACATTGACTGAATTCTTAGAACTTCACAATTTAGGTTAGAACTGACTTTTACTTATCTACATCACTACTTTCCAGAGACTTTAATAATGATGGGAAGATTTTTCCCCCCACTAGGTTTACTCTGTCATCATCAAGAAATAAAAAACATTCTAAGAACAACTTTACATGTGTAGCCTGCCACCCAAAGGAGGACTGCATCGCATCTGGTCACATGGATGGCAAAATTCGCCTTTGGTCAGTGAACACATAAAAAGCATGATGGTCACTTTTAAACTGTTTTATATTAATCCTGCAGAACAGGACTGTCACAGGGTCCAGAAAAAAGGACCATACTGAAAAACTACTGCATGTTATAGGGAGGCTTGCTGATACCCTCCATTTCTTTTATTGTGCTTTTCATTTCATACTTAATTACTTTATGATTTCTAACTTTGGGCTTGTGAAGAGAATGAAAAATTCTGTTGTCTACAATCATCTTATTGAAGAGAACTTTTCTGTCAGCTTTTACCTAAAAGAAAGAGTGACAATACCTAATATCTAGTAGGGTACCCATAGATAACATTGCTTATAGAAATGACTCTAGTTTTAAATAAAAATGAACTTTTTACACATTTAGACCTGAAAGCTTGATATTATGATTGATTACATTTGGCATGCCATTATTTATAACTTTGATTAAATTAAGAATCTTGTTCTCTCCAATAGGAGAAATTTTGATGATGACAAGAAATACACGTACACTTGCTTACATTGGCACCATGATATGGTTATGGATTTGGCTTTTTCAGTGACAGGTAAGTGCCAATTTAATAATTAAAATGAGCCTTTAAAGTATGTGTTTGTGTAGTGTTTTACTTTACTGCCTTTATAGTCCAAAGAGTTTTAAAATTGCATAAGCCAAATGAATGATAAACAATTATCTATGTTCCTTTGTTTGGGGCTTTGTTTCAAAGCCCTTCAGAGTTCCAAAGTATACCTTTGTGGTATAGTCTGTTATTGACATAAAGAATCTATTTTTTTAAGTTATGTTACTTTTTTTTTCTTTATTGTATGTCTACATAGCTAAGTGCTTGCTATCCATAACTTAGCTACAGTTTATCAGGCACAAAAAAATGATGCTAGCATTTACTTCCATTATGTAATTTAGTTTTTGATCCTGTAAAATATATATCATTAATTCTCCTTTTATAGATGAAGGAAATGGGGTTTGGAGTTGGTAACTTCCCAAGGTCACTTGGGAAGTAGGATTTAACCTGGGTCTGATTGAAAAACTCATGTTTTTAACTGACATATTGCATCATTCAGTCTTTACTATTTTAAATTAATTCGATCTTTGTTCCATTAAGTAGTATGAGAGTATGAGTATAGCGAGTGAAAATACCTCCTTGAAATTCTGTCTTCAACAGAAATATGAAAAAGTACACTTTGCATTTGGTTGCTTTAACACCTATTTGGTGAAAGTTATGTATGACAGGATGCTAGAAAGTAGAGTGTACTTGAAAAACAAGAAGGCATGAATGTTATTTTTCTTTCTGTGGGTCTCCCTGGAGACTGACAGGACAAGTATTAGATGGTACCTTGTGCTTAGGATCCTTAGAGGTTTACTTGGTTTTTATTCACTGAAAATCAGAGGCAATTTAAGCTTCCTTAAAACTTTGGATTTGGGAAACAATGAGCAGAGTGTGTAGGTCACATCCCACCTAACACAGTAGCACAGCAGGAGTACTGAGGAAAATTGAGATTAGAAGAGAATGAAGAAGAATTAACCCTACAGATAAAAAATGTACTCCTTTCCATATACCTCCCCAAAGTACTAATGAGTATATGATGCACAAGTGTGCATATGTGCACATGTCCCAAGCATTTTCTTTATTCCCTCCTAACTCAGGTTTATTTATTTTGCCCTTCCTCCTCAGTTTCTTTCTTTCTTGTAGCATCTGCCTGAATTCAGGGTAAGAACCAATTATGTGCATATATTAGTAACTTCATGTGACTGATATCCTACCATGATAATTTCTTTTGGAAGTCATTGACATTTAAGTAATGAAGACAGTCCTTTTAGTGGCAATTTTAGCATGAACACAGCTTATTCAAATTCCTCATTGAACCTAAATTTTTTATTTGTTGTCAAACCCAGTAAATTATAGCCTTTTCAATATACTGATTATATTTCATTAGGGTATGTACCCAGAGGTAGTATTGGTGAGTCATATGACAATTCTATTTTTTTATTTTTTGAGGAACTCCATACTCTTTTTCCATAATGCCTATATTTAAAAGTTTATATTCCCACCAATCAACGGTGTATAAAAGTTCCTTTTTCTCTACAACCTCACCAGCATTTGTTTTCTTTTGTCTTTTTGATAATAGCCATTCTAACTAGAGTGAAGTACTATCTCATTGTGGTTTTGATTTGCATTTTCTTGATGAATAGTGATGTTGAGTGTTTTTTTCACATACCTGTTGGCCATTTATATATCTTTTTCAGAAATGTTTATTCAGGTCTTTTGCCCATTTTCAATCATATTATTTGTTTGCTGTTGAATTGTTTGAATTTCTTATATATTCTAGGTATTAACCAACCCCCATGTTGAGTTTGCCCAGATATTTCTTTGAGGGAAGTTTCTATGCTGTGATTATTTCCTCGTTTGCACAATAGGGTACATACAGATAGTAATAACATAGTGTGTGTTTCAAAGATTTTTAATGTTTCACTAAAAGAAAAGATTGAAGATTTGAGTTGATAGATATGCTGATTTGATCATTATACTATGTATACACATATTGATCGCATTGTAGTCCATAATTTGTACAAGTATTGAATCAATTTAAAATGAGACTTTAAAAATAATGATAGAAATTAAATAAATCATTAGAAAATGATGATACCTGTATTTCTAAAGAGTTTTATTTCTCTACTAGATAGGAAAACTAAAATATTAATTATATTTTTCTGTTTTTCCCCCAAAATACTGTTGTTTTAATTTCTTTGGATGAATGCAAAGGCACCAGCCTGCTGAGCGGTGGACGAGAGTGTGTGCTTGTTGAATGGCGCGATGCAGCAGAGAAGAACAAAGAGTTTCTCCCTCGTCTAGGATCTACTATAGAACATATCTCTGTCTCACCTGCAGGAGATTTGTTCTGTACTTCTCACTCTGATAACAGTAAGCTTAAATTTATTGTGAGGAAATACAATTTGTATAATGCCATAAATCAGCTAGCTTCTGTAGGAAGGGAAAATAGAGACCTTAAATTAATTAGAGTAATGTGATAGTTAATGAGCGATTTTTTCTTTCATTCCTCTTTTCCCCACCCCTCTCTATCCCCAGGTGCCACCAGAAGCCAACATGTTCAGAATCATTTTTATGAAATGGAGGATTAAGCATATTTGGTTATTGTTATGCCACTTATGTTTTCAAAATCTTAAAGTTGAATGATATGGGGAAGTAAAGGAAGGGTTGCAAGTGGGCATTGGTGCTTTCATAAATACAGTAACATTTTCAAAAGAATATTGTGCAGTTCTCTTTTGTACAGCCATTAGTTAGTATTGTTGTCCTGTGGATTTTAGTAGAAAGAGCCAATCTCAGTATTCTTCCAAAACTTTGTTCATCTTGTTACTACTCAGCCTAGATCAGGACCTCTTTGTAAGATTGATAGCCCATTGCTTCCTTTCCCTTTGAAATATTATGTAATTCTGAGCAATCCGTTAGTGGAATGATTTACTTCAAAGATACCCAAACTATGTTTTATATATATATTCTTGATAATTATAGTTTCTGAATTAATACTTTATATGTTGATAGGTGCAGTTTGTAGAACTTAGACTCTAACAAAAGCCCCCATCCACACCCCAGATTTTTTAGCTAAATTACAAAATATTTTTCTGATTTTCTACTAACATTGAGTTAATTGAACTCATTGAGCTATTTTGTATTCTGGCATATTACAAAATGTTATAAATTCACATGACTTCTTACCTCAAAGTTCCCAACCTATTTATGTTTAAATGATTTTTTTCTTTTATCTACAGAGATAATAGTCATTCACCGAAACCTTGATGCATCTGCAGTAATTCAAGGCCTGGTAAAAGGTACTGCAGCATCCCATGGATTTGGAATTGCATATATTTAAGAATGCATGTTTCTCTGACTTCAACTATTGTTTGTCACTTCTTTTACAGATAGGAGTATCTTTACTGGTTTGATGATTGACCCAAGAACTAAAGCTTTAGTTTTGAATGGAAAACCTGGTCACCTGCAGTTTTATTCTCTCCAGAGTGATAAGCAATTATACAATGTAAGCTTTTGATCTGTTAACTGGTAGTAAAACTAATGAAAGTTCTTTACCACCAGGGTCAAGTCATTTATTTGTAGCTTCATGCTCCTGTGCATATGTTTACTTGAACATAGTATTGTCTGTGGTTACTTAGTTCAGTTGTTTAAAACAGGGTTTAATAAGGCCACATTTGCAGGTTACATGGAAGCCAGTTGGCACTCTTACACACGCTTTCTTTTTCTATTTTTTTTGTTGTTTCGGAATGCACTGCAGTTAGCTGTCCCACACACCTGTGCCTTTGAGTCACAAAGATAAGGAAATGAGAACATGTGGATTGACAGTACAAATCTGTATCTGCTTTATGGTGAAACAATGTCATTCACATATTGAAGATAATTTTCAGTGTAGACTAAAGAGGAACACTTTTTATAATCCCAATCAACATAATCCCATCATTTCATTAGATTTCTGTCACTTTGTTTCTTTCTCTCCAGGTCCTTTAAACCCCTCAAAAAGGAAGCCTGTTAATAACCTCACATCTAGTACAATGCCTGGAAATAGTGGACACTTAGTACACTTAATACAGGTTGAACATCCTTAACCTGAAAAGCTGAAATCCACCCTGCTCCAAAATCTGAAGCTTTTTGAATTCTGACATGACACCACAATTGGAAAATTCCATACCTGACCTCTGATAGGTTGCATCACAATGCATGTGACTAAAAATATTGTATAAAAGTACCTTCAGAATGTGTATAAAATAAGATATATATGAAATATAAATAAATTTTATGTTTAGACTTGGGTCCCATCCCCAAGATATATCATTATGCATATTCAGAGATTCCAAAGTCCAAAATAAATCTGAGGTTCAAAACACTACTGGTCCCAAGCAATTTAGATAAAGAATGTTCAACCTATAGTAGCCACTTTATTTACTTAGTATATAGGCAAGGAAATAGGATTTTTTAAAAATTGTAAATAAATGCTGGCCTACTTAAGCTGTTATTATTTATCTTTCGTAAACATTATGTTATTTCTGTTCTTTTATTTCTAATGATATAAAATTTAGCCTAGAATTTTATGTAAAGCTATGTGTTCTTAGACAAAAGCACTACTATAGGTTAAAGGTTCTGTTAAATCATATAATGGGTTTTAGTCATCACTAATTTATTAAGGTCATTGAAGAAAATCACTACCAAATTGTTACTGTACAGTATGTTCCCCTTTTTAATGGCAATTTTACTGTCCATGGTAACATTTGGTTCATTGTTTCCATTATTTACAAATCTATTAACTTTAGATTGTGGAATTTATCTTAGGTGTAATTAATTATGCCTTGCATTCTTTAACATTTATGTATTAATAAACATTTTGGATTCTTTTTAACCCTTCAGTTAGATATTATACAGCAAGAATATATCAATGATGATGGTCTGATCCAAATTGAACTAACAAAGGCTGCATTTGGCTGCTATGGTAACTGGCTTGCAACAGTGGAACAACGGCAAGAAAAGGAAACTGAGCTTGAATTGCAAATGAAACTGTGGATGTATAATAAAAAAACACAAGGGTAATATTACCTATAGAGCTACCTGTTCATTCAGAATATAAAATATTTGAGTTCTTACTTTTTGGTTGTAATTATCAGACCTCAAGATGTTTCATTTTGATAAGATTTACATTTAGAGATTCCAGGGAGATGTTATTCTTCTAATAATCCCTTAATTAAACTTTCTGTTCTGAGAAAGCATTGATGTCTGCCTAGTCATAATGTCATCTCATTACATAAATGAAGAAACATGAAAAAAATGACAGCCCTGAGGACATAATACCAAGTTCCAGACAAATCCAGAATTAAAATCCAAAAGTTCGCTTGCTCTTCCTTAACATCATGCCACCTTCCATGGGAAAAGGGAGTGTAGGTGGAGCTGTAGGGTAGCATGTGTGCTGTGGTTAGATAAGAAGCCCACTGTCTTTAACAACCAATTATCAGCTCCCTGCTGTTTGCCAAAAATTGGGTTTATTGCTTTTATACCTGTTGTCTTGTTAATTTTTAAAAGAACATTATAGATGGGCCTGTTGTCCACATTCACAGGTGAAGAAATAGGTCCAAAACTAAGTGATTGTTTCTAGTCATTCCTCTTGTAACTGTGCTTTTTTTAAAAGTCATGACAGTATGTCTCCTTGATGTTTTTTTAGAATACACAATCCTATCATATATTTCATTTAAGTTATTGCCCTCTTAAGCTGGAGGAAACTTCAAGAGGTAGTTTGGGTGACTAAACATAGTAAATAATGACGAAGGCAGTTTGAATGTTTTCTTGTTACAAGTGGGGTCTTTCACATAATTTTTTAACCTTTTTTTAAAAGTAAATAGACATCTAGTTTTTATACGGTTTTTCTACAGTTTGTGCAGTAGACTTTGGACTATGATTGAAGAACCCCCTATTTTACAATCAAAAGTCACACAAGGACACTGGTATTTGTTTGACCTCTATATCCTGAATAAGAGCACTCAATTCTAATTCAACGTGGTAATCTACCAATTGCATTTTTAAAGATGCTATTGTAAAATGTACAATATGTAAGACATTCTCAGACTCATGACAGTATATCATGTTGTTCTGATGAGAGAATAAATTTGTGGGTTTTTTCCCTTCAGGTTTGTTCTTAACACAAAGATTAGCATGCCACATGATGACCACATCACGGCTCTCTGCTTCTGTAATGCAGAAAAATCTGAAATCCCCACCTTGGTTACAGCTAGCAAAGATGGTTACTTCAAAGTGTGGATATTAACAGATGATTCTGATATATACAGTAAGTCAACTAAATAGTGTATTCAAAAAGTATACAATTTTAAGAATTGGTACTTTTGCCTCATAACATATCCATTTCAGAAGAATGTTTTTCTATTTTTTTAAATAAAAATTATGTAAAATTGCTTAATTTTTAGTAGATTTAAAGAGATTTTTACATAAGTTTTTCTAAAAATCTATACTTTTTAAGTGTTGTTTTTAATTAATAGTGTGCTGTTTAGTTGTGAGAGTTATAGTACAAAGGGCTTTTGCTATTAGTCCTTTCTCTGCTCCACTAGAGGGAGTTCAAAGTCTCTAGAACGGGGCATACATTTCAAATTAATCAATATTTTGCAGCAATTATTACTGAAAGAAGTTGTGAGGAGCAGACTTGTTTGTTTTGTCTTTGTTTCTTAATCCTTAATGTCCTTTAATGTCCCTATATAGCATTGATGCCATTGTTGAACATTATGGTTTCTGTTTTCCAAAGAGAAAGCTGTTGGCTGGACCTGTGACTTTGTTGGTAGCTATCACAAGTATCAAGCAACCAACTGTTGTTTTTCCGAAGATGGCTCTTTACTAGCAGTTAGTTTTGAGGAAATAGTTACCATATGGGACTCAGAAACATGGGAACTTAAATGTACGTTTTGCCAACGAGCTGGGAAGATAAGGTAGGTAAATCATTGGGAAGTATGAAGTACTTTTTTAAAAAATTTATTTAAGCAAATCTTTAAACCTTAGTAACTTTAAACTTTAGACTTTCTGTATAGGTGGCCTGTAGGTTAGAGGGGCAAACAGCTAACTAAAATGTTGGAAAGTTAAAAATTCTGACTATGAGTATGAGCTAAATGCCAACAATTCTGAAATCAGGATTAATATTTAATTCCTGGCATGCAGATTGTTTTCTTTGTACCAAACATTTCCATCGATGTGCTGTGTAATAATAGAAGCTACATTTAAAGCCTCAGTGGATTTAAACCATGCTCACTTCTGTGTATTCCCATAAAAATGTTGTATACTCATTGTTTTCTGAAAAGAATAGAAGAAAATAACAGTGTCATTCAATTCTGTCCTCCTTCAACCTGAGGGCAGAATTGCAAATAGCTAATAAAATTGTTTCTAATTCCCAACATGTCTGATTCTGAATTTACTTTGTAAAACTTTTCTTCAGAATTCAAATTACAAGTTTCCCTCTTGGTAAAGAGCATAAAATAGAGTTTCTGTTAAAGTGATTTTGTGTATTTTATATACATTTTCTTTGTTGGGTTGGTTGTTGTGCTATGCGCATTTTAGAGAAATGATCATCAAACCTCTTATCCTAAAGCAAACCTTTTATACTCCCTAGCCTCTTTTTCTTCAGTATTACTATAGTATAGGCATCTTCTTAAACATCTACATTGCATTAAACTAATACAGTGCTTGAAATCCTGCAGTCTTTTGTGACTAAATGTTAACTTCCTTATGGTTTTAACTTAGGCACCTTTGCTTTGGAAAATTCACATGTTCAAAGTATCTTCTTGGTGGGACTGAAGATGGCATTCTTTGCTGTTGGAATCTGCTCAGTTGTACATGTAAGATATTTTTTACTCTAAAGTGACTTGGAAAAACATGTAGAGAAAGTTGTCGTTAAACTTTGACATTTTAAAAATGAGGAATCATATCTTTCTATTTCTCCCTAGACATTATAGAATATTTTTGCATGACACATAGTACCAAATTTGGAGTGGTAGGCTTGTAATAGATTACTTACAAACCACCTAATTATCAGTAAATTAGCTACCATTATCTTCTCTTTTTTCTACTGTCTTCAAGATATGAGACTTTTGTTGTCTTCTCCATTCTTTATCCTCTTAATGTTTTCAGGAATATTTCTACTAATTTGAATGCATATTAATTTGTAGTATCCCTGACAGCATAAAATTTTAATGTAGTCTGGCAAAATCCTAACGACTATGAAATGTGAATTCACTGGTATTTACTTGTTTGAGAGTATGGAAGATATGGTAGTTGCTTCATAATCAATGTGTGTGATAGTCTCTGTGGTAACTCTGGGTAACATTTTACCACATTTAGCAGCAGCAAAAGCACTAGACATAAGAATTAATGAAAGAATAACTTTTTGTAGTATATGGAAGAAATGCTGAAGTTCTATTTCATTTTTCTGCTTCCTATTCCTCACTTCAGTGCACCCCTTCCCAGATAATTTCAATGTGTCTCCATTGACAGAAGCATAAAATACTTCTCCCTAGTAGAATTGATTGTCCTGATAGAGATTAAGAATATGTGCTTCAAATAAATTTGGTAAATATGTTCTTAGAAGTGAATCACTTTTTTCCCCCCTCAGTGGAATGGAGTACAAAATTAAATATTAGAGTTATGGAACCTGATCCTTATTCAGAGAATTTTGCTGCAGTCTCTCAATCTTCAGAGGGTTCAGACTGTAAGTACAAACTATGCTTTGATAATTATAGGAAATGCAGTACCTAAATTTTCTTTTTAGTGTCTTGAATATTATTTGAAATAAACTTGCCTTCAAATCAGACATTCATTTGAAGCCATTTTGCCTGAGACCCAACCCCTCCTTTCTTCCAACACCAAATATAAATTCAGGCTTAGTTGTAGGAGAGCTCCATTACATCCCTTGTTTTTCCACAGCCAATTCGCACTCAGTTTTCAAAAATCCAACAGAGGCCTCACTCCTTTGGTGCATTTCCAACTCCCCTAACAAGTTTTAACTGTCCTCTATGTTTTTGAAACCATTTCTACATGTCTTTTTTGTACTTCAGACAAAATAGTTCAATAAAATGTTTGTATCTATCCTCTGCAGTAGTCCCAGTTTTCTGGAACAGGGGTACCTTTTTTCTCTTTTTCTGGTTCATAGTCCTCATTACCAACCTACTTGGTACATAGTAGGCATTTAGTAGATATTTGTTGAATCAAAATCTAAGACAATCCTAAGCTGGACCATTTACTCAGTGGGGTGAGTCCCAGAATTACTGGGATCTGAAATTAGAGCTATCTTTTGCGGGCAAAATGTCATTGTCTATTTTTTTTTCTTTTTCCTCTAGTGTTTGTATTTAAACCTAGTGAGCCAAGGCCATTGTATATTCAAAAAAATATCTCCAGAGAGGAAGTCCAGTGGGGAGTGTTTGTTCCAAGAGATGTCCCTGAGTTGTTCAGCTCAGAAGCTCACCAATGGCTGAACAGATCCCAGTTTTACTTTCTAACAAAGTCACAGGTAAATGACTGCCCTCCCCATCCCAAAAAGATGACCACTTTCTACCTATAGTTTTAGAGAGTAATTGTCAGCCCATGACTGTTGATGTGAATTTATTTCTAGATGGAATCGTTTCATTAAAGGATTATTTCCCCAAAAGAAATAACCTGTTAATGTTTAGTACCACTTTACCCACATACCCCTGAACTTTGAGGCTCCTTAAATATTTTCTCCATTAACTCTGTCTCGCACACACACACACACAAAAGAAAACCAGCAGAAGACAACAAAAATACTTTAAATTGTTTTTATTAGCATGGTTCATTTTTCTTTGTTGCCAGTTCTTAAATCTCTCCTACAAGAACACAATCTTATAACTCTCACAAGGTTATTAAATAAATTTAAATCTTCTCTGTGGATAGATGTATAATCTTGAAAGACTAGCTTCATTTTTTAACACTTAGTATCACCTTATTTAGATTTGCACTCTACAAATTAATTTTGTATCATTCATTGATCTCTCTTTGCAGAGCTTATTGACATTCAGTACAAAGTCTCCAGAAGAAAAACTCACACCAACAAGCAAACAGGTATATTTTAGCCATTCAAGGTGTGGACTGCATTGCCTGCGTATAAAGCTAGTTATCTTTTAGAACTCAGTCTGAGAAAAAATGTTTTAAATGAAACTTTAAAACATACATTTGTGAATTGATGTTGGTTTGATTTAAAATGTCAGTAAGATAGGATTGTGATTTAAAAAGTCAAATATGATTGGCCCTCTATATCCATGGGCTACATATCTATGGATTCCACCAATTCTTCATCAAAAATATTCATGAAAAAAATGCCAAAATGTATGGGAAAATGTATATAGGTTATATTTAAATACTATGCCATTTTATATGGGGGACTTGAGCATTCTTGGATTCAGAGGGTTCTGGAACAAATTCCCCATGGATACTGAGGGACAACTATAATACTACAAACTTCTTACAAAAAAACTTCTCTATACCACTGCCTTTTTCCACTAAGATAATCACCTCCAACTCTTTTAGATGAAATTTTCATTTAACTTCATATCTCTAAAAAGCATGTTTGTGTCGCTAACTCTGGATTTTGCAGATTTAGTGTTATTAACTCTGATCTATTAAAGCTACTGAACTTGAAATCTTAAGCTTTTTCGCATCATTCCCTGAATATACACAAAACACATTTCCCCTACCTCCCCCCTAATTTTTATCTAATTCAACCCCAGACTCTCTCCAAGTTATTTATGTCTTCTTTTAATATTTTCAGACCCACTAGTTATTCTTTGAAATCATAAAGAAGTATCTGCAAAATTCTTCTGACTTTCTTCAATCTGGACTGATTGCTGTATAGATCTGCTACCCAGTCGTCGCCTTAGTATACACATTGAGCATCATTCTAGGGATTCATTTTAGCTCTACTTTATCAGCTCCCACAGTTTTCTTCTTTCTTTGGTCACTCTCTTGCTGCTTTATTATTTCCTATTTGATTGGTTGGTTGAGTAGAGAGATGTTAAAAATCTCTTTCAGCACTTTGAAGGCATTATTTCATTATTTTATAGCTTCTGGTGTTACTACAAGTCTAATACCATTATTATTCTTTGATCGTTTATCCTTGGCTTGTTTGTTTTCATAGAAATTTCACTGAATTTATTTAAGAACTTTGTTGATCATCTCCCATATGCCAGAAACTATTCTAGACCCCTGGGGTACATTAGTGAACATAAACACCTATAAACACCCCCAAGTTTAGAGACTTGTCTATAGTCTACAGGAACATAAAGAACTAAACAACAAGAATTAAGTAACTAAAATATATAATACTTTAGAAGATAATAAGAATTGTAGTAGAATGAAGAATATGTAAGAGGGTAAGTGAGGGGTAGTTTGCAATAAATAGGGAAATCAATGGGGCTGGGATTGTGGCTCAGCGGTAGAGCACTCGCCTAGCACGGGTGGGGCCCGGGTTTGATCCTCAGCACCACATTAAAAATAAAGGTATTGTGTTGTGTCCATCTACACCTAAACAATAAATATTAAAAAAAATTTTTTAAATAAATAGGAAAATCAAGGTAGTTTTTTTTAATTTGTATATTTGTTCTAATTAGGTATATGTAACAGCAGAATGCATTTCGATTCATTGTAGATCTTATTGAAAAGACTTTGCTTTACCTCTGAATGAAATGTAGAACCGCTTAGGGTTTTGAATATAAACCTAAGTAGGAATTAATTATTCCCCACTTACCACCACTCATTTTTCTGTTCTTTTTATGGGACTTCTATTATTTAGTGCTGAGTCTTCTAGAATAGTGCTATTATTTTATTTTATTTTTGCCTGCTTTGTTTCCATTTTCTGGGCAATTTCTTCATCTTTTATCATCAAATCTTTTTATCCTTCTTGCATGGTCTGTTTCATCAGATTTTTGATTCAATTATTTGGGTAGCTATCTTTTATTTTACAGGTTTTCTTCAGTCTGTTCATTTTATACTGTCTGCTCTTATTTTTAAATGTGGGCACAAGCATCTGTTTGAAAATTCTCTGCCAATGTGGAACTGTCTTCTGGCTGAGCTATTTTGTTGAGAAAATCTGAGTCATTATTTTTTAGTTTTCTTCTCTTACACTAGTCAAATTATACAAATAAAATTCTTCTTATGATCTTGTCTAAAGAATTTAAACCTGTTTGCTAGTATTCTGAGAACTCCCCTGTATGGAGGAAAACTGCCTCCAGCTATGACAAGGATACCACCTGCCCCTGCCTCCTCCCCGCCCCCCCCCCCCAAGTCTAAGGACATAACTTTTATTCTCTTCTCCAAGGAATATACTTTTTTTTGGCTTCTGCTGGGGCTTCGAAGGAGATATGGGAATCTAGGGACTTCTGCATAAACTTTTCACCAACCCCTCTTGTTTATTTAGCCCTACTTTCATTACTACTTATAGATTCTGTTGTACCAATTCTTTGACTCTGTACTGTGAATTGGGATGTTTCTTCACTTTCCCATAGCCAGCTTAAAATTCTGCTTTCTCGGCTCTATTAATTTATTGTCCTTCAACCCGCTTCATCCTTCCAACATGTTACTATCCAGGACTCTTCCCCCATTCTCTGTCTTTGAGTTTCTACCCTTTGAAACCCTTATATTGTCCTTTTTGTAGGATTAGGCAAAGAAACAGTGATAAATGCCTATTTGGTTCATACATCTATGTGTCCATTGTTAGCTTTTCCTAGTGGGGTACTAGGCCTGTTGCTTTACCTATGAGACATACTAAATAATTTCTAAAGTTCCTTCCATCCCAGACATTTTATGATTCTACAATCAACAGAATTCCCCCTTTTTATGCAGGTAACTTCCCTTTTTCTTATATCCTTACAGCTATTAACAGAAGAAAGTCTTCCTACAACCCCATTTTATTTCATATTGGGAAAGCACAGGCAACAACAGGATGAAAAATTAAATGAAACACTGGAGAATGAATTGGTACAACTTCCCTTAACCGAGAACATACCTGCAGTTAATGAGGTAAGAAATTAGTTGAGCAAACCATGTGAAATCGATAAACTGTATTAAAGCACCTTAAATTGGCATTTACAAATCACTTTTGAATAATCATCTTTATGCTATACAGTTAATACACTAAATAACGTAACCCTAGGAGTTGGGATTATTTTGGCCTGCACCTGGGGTGAAGGAGATGAGGTTTGCTTTAAATATTGGAAAGTGAAAATGATTTTTTCTTTGGTTTGGCTTTTCTGTGGGAAGAGACATTTTGTTTTTGACTCTTAGCAAAGGGTACTAAGGACTGTAAAGGAACAAACTGTGCCAAAGGATGATATTCTTAAATGAAACACTGTTTTTCTGTTTTTTTTATTCCAGCTTCTTCACACTCCAGCTCATGTACTGCCATCTGCTTCTTTCCTGTGTTCCATGTTTATAAATTCATTATTATTATCTAAAGAGACCAAAAGGTAAAGTCATTCTTAAAACGTTTGTTATTCTCTATTCTGTTTTGGGAAACAGAATATTATTCCTTATTATTATTCCTTATTATAATATTCTTCCACTGTATTTTCTTTTTATTTTAACTTTAAAAATATAGATAAGAACATAGGATTATTAAGTCAAGTAAAATAATTGAAAATAATTCAAAAAAAGATGTTTTATTTAAGTACCTAAGGATTCAATATGTAATTTTAAATCATACATTTTATAAGTTCACCTCTTCTTTTTCCAATAACCCATAATTTTTAAAGTGCACTCAGTAGCATGATTTTTCATTCCCTGTGTCTGTATGATTATATTTCTATGTAGGTGTCTTAAATAAGCAAGGTGTTATTACTTAGAATAATGGTGTTTACATCTTATTCTGTTACTACACAAGTGCTGAAGAAATTCCTGATGATGTCGATATGGAAGAAGAAAAAGAAAGTGATGATTCAGATGAAGAAAATGATTTTACAGAAAAGGCCCAGGTTACAAATGACCCAGGTTTGGAAGAAGACATTATACATCAGTTGTCAAAATCTGAAGAGAAAGAACTGAGGAAATTAAGGAAAGTGGACTACAGCTGGATAGCTGCTCTTTAGGCCTGGGGGTGGGGGGTGGGGAGTGTTTTGTATTTTTTAATGTTGTCTCTCTTCTTAAAATAAAATATTAAATATTTACAGGCTTTGCATTTTTAAAAAACTGGTAATATGAACCTTTAATTTGCATCATGCTTTACAGTTGCTAGGTATATTCCATCACATCATATTCATAACATTTATATTTAAAAAGTAAACATAAAAACAGTAAGGTATTCAAATTATAAAAGTACATCTCAATGAATATTTACAAAATTGCTGCAAATGGCTTTTTGGCATATGCTATAGACGAAATGTTTGTGACCCTCCAAAATTCATGTTAGAATGGAATCTACACTCTGCTGGTGTTGGCCTTTGGGGGTTAATTAGTTCATGAGGATGGAGCTTCATGGATAGGGTTAGGGTTCTTATAAAACAATCTAGAATGCTCTCTTGCACCCTGTACTATGTGGGGATACAACAAGAAGACAACCATCTAACAACAGGAAAGCAGGCCCTCACCAGACAGCAAATCTGACACCCTTTTATCATTCTTTCTAGCCCCCAGAACTATGAAATAAATTTGTTTATGAGCCACCCAGTCTATGGTATTTTGTTATAGCAGCCTAAATGGATTAAGTATGTTTTAATCATTATTCAAGTAAGGTCCATATTTCCTTTTCTAAAAATAACAGCTACATTAAGATGTATCACAAACCACATCATTCATGTATTTAAAGTGGACAATTTGGTGGTTTTAAGTAAATTCACAAGATTGTGCACCACCATTAAAATTTTAGAACAATTTCATCATCCCAAAACTCCCTTTTTCCTCAAGCTTCCTTACTCTACTCCCTATATGACAATTTTTCTATCTTTGTGAATTTACCTATTCTGAACATGTCATATACAAGTGGAATCATGCCATATAGTCTTTTTTTTGACTGGCTTGTGAATTAACATCCATTAGTGTCATAGAAGTATCAGTACTTCATTCATAGATATTCTTTTTCCCTTACTTTATCACTCAAAGTCCATAACTTATGAATTCACTCTTTGTATTTTATATTCTATGGCTTTGGACAAATAGCATTTGTCTATCATTATAATATTATGCAGGGTATTTATATTGCCCTGAAAATGTAGGGTTAGTTTTTGAGGCTAGTCTTTGAGGTTTATCCTAATCCCAGTAGGACTTTAGCTGTTTATTTTCCCCTGGTTCTTCCTGGTAAACAATTATTGAGTTTGTGGTTGAGCTTGTTCTCATGGAGCTGCCAGGCTTTTAATTGCTTACCATAAAAATGTTCATTGTTATCAAAAACACCCTTAGACTTGAACTTCTCCACTACATTTCAAATAATGTCAATTTTCTCTTATGGACTGTTTTTTGCCCTGGGTAAGATCTTAGCCACTGGGCACAAAAGCCCACATTTCTGAAGGACACTCCTACTTCCCAAACTGAACTGAGGCTGAAGCCTTTGATCCATGTGTCTTCTGACATAGAATTTAAGCCTTATGAGGAGACTGGGCAAGGCAATGAGGCCCCAGGGATCCTCAGGTAGAGGCTCTCGGTTAACCTTTGCAACATGGACCTGGTGGCAAAAAGAAAGGCTGGGAGCTGAGAGGAAAAGAATGAGAAGTTTCTGTCATGCCATGTTGGATTGAGGAGAAAGAAGCAGCTAATGGCTTGAGTGACAGATTTGCTATTCCACCAAGACATTAGATTTTCTTCAAGGAATGTTTGTTTATTTGCCCTTAGGACAATTTTTGAGACTTTAAATGGTTGAGTCTTTGAAATAGTTTTTACCAATTATGGTTCTAAAAAAGAGGTCCGTGGATCTCATTCTGCCATCCCAGCAGCAGAGGTCTCATAAGCCTCAATCTATATCTTCTTTGTCTCTCTTCCCCACCCCCACTATCTGTGCTCAGTGTGTTGAAGAAATCTCATTTGCCACGAAAGTTTCTCACTGATTTTGCAGATTGTTTTAATGACTTAATATTATCCTCTGTCCTCTTCATATTTTTGGTTGTATCTAAAATACTGGATTGCATTTCTGCTATCCAATACCAAATAATGCAAGTCCTATGTAGAACTAATTTTTCTAATAGTTACAATAAAATTTTAAAATAATCAGAGGAAAGTAATGCTAATGATATACTTTTTTAAACCCTGGATATAAAACATTATTTCAACATATAATCAATTTTTTAAATATTTCTTGTGATATTTCACACTTTTTTCCACATGATGTCTTCAAAACTTGTGTGTATTTTACACTTACAGCACATCTCCACTTGCACTAGTCACACTTCCCATGCTCAATAGCTACATGTAGTGAGTGGCTACAATTTTGGATAGCACGAATCTAGAGACTTGATCATATTAGCTTCGAACTTTTAACTAAAACAAAGATTGTTTTGGTCTTGTCAGTTCTTTTCCCCTCCCAGTGTGGTGGATTATTATTTTACCATATTCAGACATGGACATGATATCTCCAAGACATATTTATTTTTGCAGTTATGTATAAATAACTTTTATAAAGTTAGAAATATAAAATATGCCAATAATATATATTATACATAAAATGTATATATATAAAATAAATTTTTTATTTTATACTTAAAAATCAAATTACTTCAAGTAAACTTGGGACATGTCTTTCTTAAATAGTAATTACTGTATAACCTGAAAAATCATTTTATAAGTATAAATTTAATTATATTTTCTTCCATTAAAACATGACATCCTTGTTGGGATTATCTTAATTCCTCCTCCAATATTTAAAAACGGTATCAATTTTTTTTCCCAAAGAAAACTATACAGTAAGGAAGAAATGGCTGCTCATTCCTTAAAACCTGGATTTATGCTCAGCAGATCTGTTTCTCTCAGTTTTTTTACCATAGGAAACTGGTCCCATTGTAGTAGATGAATTCATAAGGACTACTTCTATCCTTCCTCATTGTTCATCTCATTTTTCTATCCAGGCATGAACCCGTCACACTATTGTGTCCACTATGAAAGGTACAGCCTGTAATTTAGGAAATACATAATCTCAACCTCACTAGTAGATGGACCATACAGGCTAACCTCTTACCATGTGTCGTTAATTTCACACACATCACATTTTGTCTATGATTCCATGTGTCAGATATTACCCCAATTTGGCAAATGAGGATTCAGTCTCCAAAGGGATTAAGTAAATCTTACCTAGATCCCTAGGCTATCAGAAGTGCACTAACACACAAGAATCCTGCCTGTCAAATTCCAAATTGTGTGCCTTTCTAGGATAACCCTGCCTCCTAGAGCTTAAAACAGTTAGTTAGCATTGCAAAGGCATTTACAACTGGGGAGGAACTATGATAAATGAAATGGCCCAGATTAGAGCTTGCCAAAATGCCAATGTCTCGGCTTGGCACAGAATCACGAGCCACCACACAGCTTTGTAGGTTCAAACAGCAATTCTTTATTCTGGGTCTCACACCAGCCTCCACACACGTTCAGGGGCAATCTCCAATATGCCCGTCCCCAAATCGTACTCCAAGAGGCTTTTTCCAAATCCCATTTTAATCTCACGAGAACTCAACGGGAACAAGCAGCAGGAACACCCTAATCCCAGCAGCCATAATCTTCAACCTCTAACTTCCCTAAAACTCCTATTGTCACACCCTAAACCCAAGGACGGGATACTTCCTGCAGGAATACACCCTAATCCTGGATCCACCCTGGTGATTGAGCAGGGTCACCTTTCTCAAACACACAAGCAAGGTCACAGCAAATTTCCAAGGCAAGTCCATTTAACATGGGGTACACTGGCAAGGATTATGATGCGTCATACCTACTTGGTAATGGCTCTCAGCAAGAGCTAATGCCAGCTGCAAACAAAAATTAGATAACTCTGTGACCTGGCTAAAGTCCTTAAACTGTTACCTTCAACTGAGAACTTCCTTCCCATACAGAGGGTTTTGTTTTCCTGACCAGTACTATTATGTTTCAGGTATAGGGAAAGTATGTCAAATTTGAATATTGTGAGATGATGAACTGGAATATATGCAAAATTTTGATGAGAAGTTTATGCTAATTGAATAACCACATATTAATTAGATAGGCGTACCAATCATGTGCTAGAACATCATTCCTCTTTGGGGTTTCATTTCTTATTATAGATCCCACCCTGTATAAAAATTACAGAATACATTATAATGTGGATAGTGTGTTTTAAATAATTTCAGTTCTTTGTACAATAACTATAGTGGAGCTCTTAGTAGAAATATTTTAAGTTAAATATAACCAGATGGTTAAAATTAACTAAGTCTTATAAATGGCACTCATTTTTCTGTAAGGCTGCTTTACCTGAACTCTACTTCCAACAGTTATGCTTTCTCTGTTAACTATGTTCCTTGACAGCTGTGAAAATGACAAAAATCACCTTGACACCAAAGTCAAGATGGGGAGTGAGGAAAGAATGGTTAACAGGTATATGGGTGTAGTTGGAGAGGAAGAAAAACTTCTAGTATTCTATAGCACCGTAGGACAGTCGTGGTTAACAACAGCTAATTGGCTCTTTCAAAATAGCAAATAGAGATGATTTTGAATGTTCTCAGTGCAAAGAAATGATAAATGTCTAAGATGATGAATATACCAATTGCTCTGATCTAATCATTACAGTTTATATAGCATCTTAAAATGTCACACTTTGGCCCATAAATTTGTACAATAACTATGTGTAAATAAGAACAAAATATGCTAAGTAAATAAAAGAGAAAGAGAAGAAAAGGAAAAGGTACTAAAAAGGCAGGTAGTAAGGCAGAGTGGATGGAGCACACCCAGGTGGTGAGGAGCCATGGAAGGTGAGGTTTGTGCTGATGGGAAGACAGCATTCCTGCCTCACTGTGGGTCCTCAGTTGACTCTGCAGGGGACATGGAAACTCTCTGTTTACCTTGCTAAAATACACTTTAGAATAATGACTTTAATTCCCCTCCAGATTCTTTTTTCCATTCTTCAAAGTCGTCTTCATCAACTGCAGTGCTTG